ATGAAATCCCTGTCTACCTAAAATAAATCCGTTCTGATCGCAGGAAATTATGTCAGGTAATATTTTCACCAATCTTTGGGCCAAAATTTTACATAGTATCTTTAAATCCACATTAAGCAGACTTATTGGTCTTAAGTTTTCACATTTATTGCAGGGTTTACCGGGTTTGGGCAGTAGGGTTATCAGCGCTCCTCGTAATGAGACAGGGAGGATTCCATTTTCAAATGATTCTGAGAACATACTGAAAAGAGGGGACAGTAATTTAGTTTTAAACTTTTGATAAATTTCTATCGGCAGCCCATCTGGGCCTGGGGCTGTACCCGTTTTCAATTTATCTATTGCTGAAGATATTTCCTCCTTAGTTATAGCCGCACCAAGATCTGTGTTTGTAATCTCTGAAATGTTGGGTATTCGGAGGGTATCTAAGAAGATGTTTCGCACTTGTTCTGTATGTGTTGCATCTGAGCTATATAATTTTTCAAAAAAGATCTTAAAAGTTTCATTAATTCCAAGAGGGTCAACAGTAACTTGCCCATCATTTTTTTCACCAGAGGTAATATTGTTCTCGTTTTGTAACTGTCGAAGGCGCCAAGCTAGTAATTTCCCAGATTTCTCCCCTTGATCATAAAATGTTTGCTTTAGACGCAAAAGATTTGAGGCTGCTTTAGAGGCAGAAAATTCGTTATACTGTGTTCTTAATAATAAGAGTTTTTGATGGACTTCTGGATGTACAGTTTGGTAATATTCCCTCTCGAGCGTTTCGATTTCTGCTTCCAACTTTTTTGTTTTCTGATAAGTTTGTTTTGTTTTATAGCTTGTAAAACTAATTATCTGACCTCTTATATAAGCCTTAAATGCTTCCCATCTGGAACAGGATGACGTTTCATCTTTATTGATTTAAAAAAAAAAAAGATGATTTGGTTATCTATGGAGGATATAAATTCTGAGTCATTTTTGTTTAAATCTCCACCTAGGGGGATCTCTTCTAAATTTCAAATCTTCATATATTAATGAAATTGGCACATGGTCAGATATTAAAATGCTGTCATAATGACAATCCTTTATTTTGTATCTTAGCTCAAAAATAATCGATACGGAGGTATGATTTATACGTGGCTGAGTAGCAGGAATATTTTAAGTGATTTGGATTCATATCCCTCCAGATATCCACCAGATTGAGTTCCTTCATGAAGTACTGAATAGTTTGTCTACTTTCGGAGTGAGAGTCATCAATACCTGAAGTTCAATCCAATTCTAGATTCAATGTGAAGTTAAAGTCCCCTACCATAATATAGCTACTAGACAGAGATGACATTGTGAGAAAAAGATTATGAAAAAACTTTGGGTCATCATTGTTTGGAGCATAAACATTTATCAGGTTTATTTTCTCTGTAATAAGTGTGCCCTGCAGGATAATGTACCTCCCAGCCTTGTCTTGAATAACCTTTGTCACATGAAATGGTATGGATTTATGAATCAACACCATAACACCTCTCGCCTAAGAGGTGAAAGGTGCTGAGTATATGCTACCCTGCCACCTCCTCTTAATCTTTGCCTCTTGACTAGATAACAGGTGAGTTTCCTGAAGCAACAACATGTCAGGTTGTAGGGATTTTAGTCTAGTCATTACTTTTTTTTATTTTTTTCAATTTTTGTAGCCCTCTGCAGTTCCAAGAAGATAACTTAATTCTTAATCCACCAAACATAGTTTACAACAATGCATGTGCTTCCCATTAACTTTGAGTTATTTATAGAAAGAGAAACTAAAAATATCTGGACATTAAGAACGACATCCATGACAACAAAAATGAACCTATGTAACCCCTTGACTTTAAAACTTCACCCACTTCCCTCCCCCAATAGCTACTGGCACCTGTCTAACAGCTAAAGGACGTTCCACACACTAGTGAGGACCAACCGACTGTGCCTGAACACTTTACCTCTTACCCTGCCCCGCTACATAAACAAGAAACTTATCAATGAGCACTTTGAGAAACTTAGGCTATAAACGGTAACATTGGCTGTGAGCCTACGGGTCAATGTGCAATCAGATGTTATAAGAAAATATATATGCACTTTTTTTTTTTTGTGAAGGAAAACTAACAAGCTCAGTGATCGTCCATCCACATCCATATACAGCAATATGACAGTGATGACATTATCTCACCCCTGTCCGCTTTCTGACTTCAGGGCCCTTATGAAGTTCTCAGCTTCACCTGGCTGGTTAAAGATGCGAGACTAACCGTTGTGTGTTACCAGCAGCCTTGCGGGAGGAATCATGCCGTATTGGATCCCCATGGAGCGAAGCTGTTGTCTCACGGCATCAAACTCTTTCTGTTTTTTGTACACGCCGGTTGTGACGTCCTTGTAAAATCTCACCGGGCGGTTCTTGTAGAGAATCTGTCCCTTTGCTCTGGCGGCTCTTATCACAGTCATTTTGTCCTTGTAATTTAGGAACTTCATGACAACAGTCCTTGAGGCGTCGGTGTTTGCCGTATTCTTCTGACCGACCCGATGAGCTCTCTCCAGGGTCGGAGCGGTGCGTAAGGGTGCCAAGTTCAAAGCCTCCGGTAGCCAGTTTTCCAAGAAAGCACATGCGTCCTCTCACTCCGTGCCTTTGGGCAGGTTAACCAGCCTCAGGCTAGATTGTCGCGATCTAGTCTCCAGATCCAGCACTTTTTCTTCGAGAACTTTATTTTTACGTTCAAGAGTCTGAACCTTCGTCTGCAGATTGGCGATGCCATCCTCCACTGCAAATATCCGGACCTCCGCCTCAGTGATCCGCTGGACGCACTCATTGACATCCTTCCTCACATTCTCAATTGCGGATAAAATACCATCCGATTTGGAGGAAAAGTCTGATTTCAGGTTTGCAATCGCAGCCAATATTGCGTCTGAACCTCCGACTGTCTCTCCCCTCTCAGTCTGCTTGTTAGCTTCCTCTGCCATTGTTTCGCACGTGCTTGGGTTAGCCTCGCTATCCCAAAGCTCGTGACTATAGGTGAGGGTTGGGACGTCCTGATCCGCCGGTCCACCTCACCCTCCATTTTCCCATCACTTGTGAACAAGATCCCAAGATACTTAAACTCCCTTGCTTGAGGAGGCAACTCCCCTTCCACACAAAGGTGGCAATCCACCAGTTTCCGGCAGAGGATCATAGCCTCGGACTTGGAGGTACTGATCCGTATCCCTGCCGCTTTGCACTCAACTGCAAACCTCTCCAGTGCGTGCTGAAGGTCACGTTCTGATGAAGCCAGCAGTATCACATTGTCTGCAAAAAGCAGAGATGCAATCCTGAGGTCCCCAAACCAGCCACCCTCCTCACCCTGGCTGCGCCTTGAGATCCTGTCCATGAAGACCACAAACAGGATCGGGGATAAGGGGCAGCCCTGGTGGAGTCCAACACACACTGGAAATGTGTCTGACGTATTGCCGAGAATGAGGACACAGTTTGCACTTTGGTTTTACAGGGACTGAATGGCTCGTAGCAGCAAGCCTGATACTCCATATCAGTGCACCCCATGGAGTCCCTCAGGGAACATGGTCATAGGCCTTCTCCAGATCCACAAAGCACACGTGGCTATCCACTGGCTATCCGAATGGCTATCCGAATTCCCATGCCCCCCTCAGCAGCTGTGCAAGGGTGAAGAGCTGGTCAGTGGACCACGACCAGGACGAAATCCGCATTGCGACCGAAAGTCCTTCTCCATAGCCTCCCCAAACTCCTCCCACACTCGAGTTTTAGCTTCCACGACCACAGCAGCTGCAATCCTTTTGGCAAGCCTATACCTGCCTGCTGCTTCAGGAGAGCCCTGAGCCAGCCAGGCCTGAAGAGTCTCCTTCTTCAGCCTGACGGTTTCTCTCACCGCTGGTGTCCACCGGCTGGTTTTGGGGTTGCCGCCACGACAGGCACCAGTGACCTTCTGGCCACAGCTCTTAACAGCTGCTTCTGCAATGGAGGCTTTGAACACGGCCCACTCTGACTCCATGTCCCCAACCTCCTCCGGGATGCAGGAGAAACTCTTCTGGAGGTGAGAATTGAAAACCTCACGGACAGGTTTTCAGACGTTGCCAGTTCACCCTCCCTACATGTTTGGGTTTACCAGGTCTGTCCGGCAGTCCTCCCCGCCATCGGATCCAACTCACCACCAGGTGGTGATCAGTTGACAGCTCTGCTTATTTCACCTGAGTGTCCAAAACATACGGCCGCAGATCTGATGATACGACTACGAAGTCGATCATGGCCTTTTGTCCATGCCAACTACATGTTTTGTTAAATTACTACACAGCAACAGCAGACAGAAAAGGTAATGTTGATGTGTATTTTTTCTCTCCCACAGCCTGCATCTTTCAGACTACAGCCACAGTCACATAGGCTGCCTTTACCAGTGGAGAGATGCTTGCCAACCAATCCAAACTCTCACTACATCAGTAAAACTACAACTGAATGCTGCCCTAATGACACTGTCTTTGGACTGGCGGTGCTGTATTTTCGTCATTTGAAAGTCTTTGTGAACAAGACAGACACACACATTACCAGTATGCTGTGTTCATTACCTGGATAAGTACGATAAATTCACACAAAACGCATATTCCTTTCCATAATTTACCTTTACTGTTGTCTGCAACAATTATGAGCCCTGAGCATGAAAATGTTTTCAAGTTTGAGTTATTGCCGATGATCGGATGTCAAACCTGTCTATAAAAAAAAAAACATTTTGTTCTGGCTTCACTTCCTGCCGTTGATCCAGCAGCTGGCGTGTAACCTCACCACAGTCTGCTTGGAAGAGGACCAACACCTGCTCTCTTTGTGGGGTTAGTGTTCCGACACCTGAGGTCGTGTGACTTTATTGTTATCCACCAGAGTGAAGGAGTCAAAATAAAAAACCCTTAAAATTAGCTGTTGAAAGTGTGACCTTAGTTCACCTTTATCCTTACTTTACTTGTACAGTATATGCACGTGGGTACCTAAGTGTATAAAGTTAGTCAAACCTAAGTACCTGGGACACGTGAGCCCTTGAGGGGGTTGGACATGGCCATGCCGATCTCAGTCATGCCATAGCGTTCCAGCAGTGTATGGCCTGTAATCTCCTCCCAGCGCTGCAGAGTGGGCAAAGGGAGAGCAGCCGAGCCAGAGACCATCAACCTGAGGAGAGAGGGCCGGATGTGAGGGAAACACTCCCAATAAAAAAATTACACACTCCTAAGTTGTATCATGCATAAAAACATTAATGAAACATGTCTGATTATTATAACTGTTATTTTTTTTGTGACGGCTTACACATCTACAGTGTCCTGTGGTGCATTCACACGTACTGTATGTATGTGATTTGTTAGAGTAGGAGACTCTGTCGTCATCTCTAAAACTATTTTTTTTTTGACAAAAAAAAACAAATATATACAGAATGCAGCATGGTAGAAAATAGTGGCAGTCAACAAAATAGAAAAATGCAGACACCAAACATAAAGACAAAAATAAACAACACTAAGGAGTGAAAGTTGTGCTGCAAATGTGTCTAATGTGTTATTACACTGCCAGAACAATATCAAAGGTCAATAAAATGTTTAAGAATTGTGAATTGCTATTCTGACATATTTACATACATATACAAAAGCGAAGTTAAGGAAGCCATATTATGCACATTTAAAGGTGTACAATTTTATTATTTGAGTCTTCTTAAATGCTTAACTGAATAAAAAACATTTTCTTTTTTTAGACACCATATATTACTGAAGCACCTCTTTTCACCCTCTGTCTGAAATTCTGCATTTTGAAAAGTCAGGTGTGCTCTGATTGGTCAGTTGCCTGACAAAAGCAAGGCAACACTGGTTACAGACATAGACTGTATGTATTATACAGTCTATGCTTACAGAGAGCTACAATCTATGACTATACGGAAGTAGCTCTTGCAGAAGCAGCTCCAGCAAGTAAAAATCATGGCAGACTGCAAGGAAATGGCTCATTTTTTGTTTGAGGGCCAATCTAGCCGCTATGCTGACGTGCAACTGTGTTTCATGGTGACACTGACAAGTTACGGAAGAAAAGCCTGGACTTCAAATGAGGTGTTTCAGGCAGGTGAGAAGCAGTGTTTTCTGTGAGATTGGAACTTCTGTGGCAAAAATAGATAAATAAATAAATAAAATGCTATAACACACTAAAGACAGCAAATAAATTCAAAAGGATCTTTAAAGGAAAAGCAACACAAGTGTCTAAGACCACAGGCTTTAAAGAAGAGCTTTAAACCTCACTGGTACTGATTCTACTGAAGGTACAAATGTTATCCTTCTAAAAGATGTTCCCCTATTCATTGTTTTGATCGTGGAGGTGGAGAGCGCTGTCTCACACTCGCTTCAAAATCTCCCTTTGGTGTTCCGTTGGGTTCAGATCTGGTGACTGTTCGTGCTCCTGTCACAGACCCCCAATTCCACCACCTTTTGTTCATTGTTCTCTTACCTCCTGTCATTAATTAGCAACTGTATACTAACTAACCACTATTCACTACAGTATTTACATACAGGACCTCTCTACCCTCTGACTTACCCTATAAAAGGTGTAATACTGCAAATGTTCTTGGTCGGTTCACCATCACAGACTCATGCTCTGTGTTGGTAAGCCCACCGTATACCGGAATACTAATAAACACCCCACTACAGCAAACTTCACATGAGGACCATGAGTAAAATTTCTTCAACAGAGTTAAATAAGTAGCTAATACTATGGCTAAGCATTTTTACCTTGAAGCTGCAGTGTACTATTGACAGTCTCAAACACATGATTCAGACTTTTGGGTGTTTCATGTCAAACAAATCTTTCAAATTGTAGGGTGGCAAATGGTAAATTGTCTGCACGAATATAGTGCTTTTCTACCCTGGTGGTACTCAGAGCGCTTTACAATGTTTTCTCATACACACATTCATACACCAATGGCGACAGAGCTGCCATGCAAGGACAACCACCCTACCACCTGAGCCAAAGCTGCCCGAGTGGTACCTGATGTATCATTACTTGTCTTCAGAATCAGTTTACGGATCAAACATGTTGAATTATTTGGTTCAGTTACTTTAACATTAAGACATACCATTGTGTAGCGTAGAGTAGTTTTACTACTGGTGTGCACAACCTGCAGTGATGGGGAAGGGGGGGTGGCTGAAACAGAGGCATGGACTATGTAGATCAGCGCATTTTAGAGGAAGCAACAGTGGAGAGTTACATCTAAGCTATTTTAAGGCATGAAAGGTTTTTTTTCATGGACAAAAAACTTTCTAAATAAATAATTTTCATACAGAAAGATGAGTTTTTATGGATTTAATCAATAACCACAGAAGTGTTTAGCTTTAAAAGCCAAAGGGCAATGTTTAAGCTGTAGTCCACAGTTAACTAAATGACTCCATGACAACATTATACCTCCTGTTTACATCCCCTTCAGCTTCCAAATTAGGAGGGATCAAACACGATTTTCTCCAGTTGACATAATGATTTGTAAAATGCATTGTTATGATTTTTCCTCATGTGCACTTTAATTAAGCTCTAAATATCCCTTTGAAATGGAGGTTGAAGGGGTATTTAGTAAAAGCACCATGCACTAACCCTAACCCTGCATTAAACCTTTTAGTGTTCAGGTCTTTTGTGCTTTGTAAAGAAACATTGTAATTAGTTTTCTTCAAGTAATTATTAAACATTTCCCAGCAATTTGTTGCATACACAAACATGTATCCATTAACATCTATTGGAGAGCAAGCTGTTAGCCATTGATCCTACAACCCTTACCTGATCCTTTCTTTGCAGACTGCTTTGACAAAGTCCTTCACATGAGGCTGTGTGAAGTGCTGGTCATAGTGCTGGATCAGCTTAGAGTAAATAGTTGGCACGGCCATGAACACATTAACCATCGGAGCCTTGGAGCTCAACAGCATCTCCCACACCTTGGGGGGAGAGGAAGGGGGAGAAAGAGAGGGAGATAAGCACAAAATATAACTGAAAAGGAGAGAGATAAGGGAAGGCGAAAAGAAAGGCAGTGTATTAAATGAAGGGGGTATAGCAAACCAATATATTACATCCAGATTTATGCCATTAGTTTACGTAACAGAAAAAAGTGACATTTTTTTTAATGTAATGTCAACACAACGCCAAAAAAAAAAAAAGTCAAGCAAAAAAAAGTCGGAGGAAAACAGTCGGCTGCTGTAGGCAGAGCAGCAGCGCTGGCCAGTTAAACGACCTTCTGTACAGCTACTTTTGACAAATGTGCTTTTTGACGAAAGAGCTGCTTGTGTCCTCCACTTCATCAAGCGGGCTGCTTCAAACACACAGGGGCATTAATGGACATAAACATGCGTCGTGAACTACATACATGTATAAAACATGTTGAATATCACATAAACTCCACTTGTTCAAGGACAAAGCCATTTTACACACTCCGCCCCGCCCACTCCACCTCATCGCTTACACACACAGTCTGGGTACATTGCAGTAGACGATGGGTGGATGGGACAACAGCATGAATTAAGTGAAGGTGAACAACAGCTTCTCTAAGTCCCGTCCCCCCCTCCTGAGGAGACAAAATGCTCCTCCCCAGCTGTCTCCCCTCTCCGTCTACTTATCCTCACTTCTTCTTCCTCTTCTTTCATTCTACCTCCATTTTCCAAGTGCTTCTTTTTCATTTTCTACTTTCATCTCTGACCCCACATCTTCCCTTCATCTTTCTTCCTTCCCCTACCCTCCTCTCCCTATCTCACATTCACTTACCTTCTCTCTCCATTTCATAATTTCCTGCTTCGCTGCCTCTGCAGTCTCTCTCTCTCTCTTACACACACACACACACACACACACACACACAGCAAGACACATATTCGCACACAGAAAAATGCAGTGTCTCCCATCATCACTCTCACCCATAGTAACACCACATCCTTCTTAATGTGCCGACAATTTCTAGACTCTTCCTTCCACTTCTCCTTTGTGTGACCTCATCACACACTCACCTGATCTATTATCTGTTTAATTATCTCCCTCTCACCTCCTCTGCTTCTAATAAACAAACAGAACTGAAATATATAGACAAATAAAACTAACATGATTAAGGTGTGCTAACAGTCGAATCAGATATCCATCCCATCTCTCACCATATCATTACGAGTTGATCTACAAAAAAAATCTGCGTCTCACCTGCACACATACTAAATAAAACTTTGTGCAGAGTGTAGGATTATTAACCGACTGTGCCCTGACCATTCTGGATGGTGTCTATCAAGTGCAGTGGAGCGCTTCCACCAAGTCCACTCTGGAGGGGAGAGGAAGGCAATTTATGTCCGTCAAAGAGCTGGCCTCCACCTCGGGGACAGGATGTGGTGAGAACCCAGAGCCACAGCCTGCATCCCAAACAACTCCACGAGCTGCTCAGCCCTGCACTCAACACGGGATGCCGATACAATTGCCGATTCTTCCCGAGGAGGACTGGTTGTTGAATGTCAATGTGCCAGCAGTCCTGATCAAGGAAAAGTGTCAGGTATCGAAAGTTGCCTTTGATGTAAGTCAGAATTTGAGTACAGGTTACTTATTCTTTCAATAGATGGTATATTTTGTTATTTAAATTCATTTCTATTTTCATTTGTGGGGTTTATTCAGGAAGGTTTTACTACTGTGACTTGTGCAACAGCAAAATTTTGACAAAAAAGAAAAAAGAAGTACTGAGATTTTGTACCAGCACTTCTGTCAAAACAAAATTGTAAACTATCTATAGCCAATAGTGATGAGCATCAGCATTCTAACAAGCTCATAATGAGAAATGCTTGCTTGTTTGCATTTAGCAGGTGTAAAATTGATCTTCTCTGGTGCATTAGCATAAAAACATTTGTAATTTTGCACTCAACATAAAGTATAGCTTTAATTGATCAGAATGTAAGATATTTTGCAGGAATTCTGTCATGAACCAAAGTAGGAGAGAAACTTTTGAACTGATGATGGTACTAGCTGAAAAGTCTGTAGTACAATTAATTCTGAGAGGGAGATTAAAGCAGAAAATTCCATAGAAATCATCTAATAGTCACTGAGATGTGTCTATTTGTACCAGAATGTAGGCTGATCGTAAGAAAGATCAGACTACAGTAGAAAGTGTGGCTGTCATCCTTAGAGCCAAAAACTGTCAAAATGCTTCATCCTCCGAAGTCCTGTCCAACCTCAACAACTAATTACTTTGCAGATATCAATTTGACTTTGAATAATATGAGCAGACACATGGAAGTGTTTCCAAGTAGCACCCCCATCAACTGACCACCTAATAAAATGCCTCTGTCTGTAAGAATACAATAAACTGATGCCTTGTCCCTCCCTCTTAAGGCATATCTCAACATATTACATTTGAATAGTTGCTGTGATGAAGCAGTCAATAGGGATTGAAATAAACAAACTAAATCAGACCAGTGCTTCGTGAAACCCAGGAAGAGTATCTGCTTCCATCAGTTTGCAACAGCACACTTGAAATAGACTTATATGCAATTTACTGGTTAACAATCCTTGCACTGAAAATTTTTGTCACGATCTCCAGGCAAAATCAGAGGAAAATCAATGCCGGCCTCTGCTGCCTAGGCTACCCTTCAGAGATCTTAGGGGATAGAAGAGACAGATTATCGATCACTTCATCAATGTACTGTAACTTCAGGAGGAGGAGAATAAAGGCTTTTTTTCTGACGGTGAGAGAAGGGGTTTTGTGATTTGGTCACAAGGTCAGGGATAACAGATGAATACAGATAGCTAAAAAAAAAAAGGGGGAGCAATACCTATGTGGACGGACACATATGTCCTTTAAGGACCTTTCTTTTTCATCTACTGTCACTGACATTAAGTTGTAGGGTCCCTGATGTACAAACAAAAACACACACACACACACACACACACACTGGAAAACATGTGCATCTACACTCCTGCAAAGCCACACCTAGATACACACACTTATCACCCCATCTTCCCCTCCCTTCTCAGGGCCAAACAAGCACTATCATCCCTCAATGTCAGCTCATCGATTGATCTGCTGCTTAAGCCCTTGCCGTAAGTCGGCATTGGTCAGATACAAAGCCACACAGGGCAATTCATCACTGAGCCCCAAACACTTAGTTTGACAGTCAGAGAGGGAGGAAGAGGAGAAGGAAGAGAGGCAGAAAGACGGCAGAGTAGATGAAGAGAGGACAGAAAAAAAAGAGCAAGGGGAAGGGGAAACACTGATAGAGAAAGAGGGATTGATGTGGAAAGAGTCGAGGGTCTTTTTCAACCCAGCAGGACGTTGTCCGTACAAGACCTAAATCTGAAATACTTCTTAGCCTCACTGTCAAGCTCGCCAGTTGCCTCCCGAGCCTCGGAGCTGTCAAAGATTTTGTTCAAGTGTGTTCATGAATGGTAAACTGTGTTGAGAGACAGAGCAGAAGAAAGAGACCTTCTGAGGCTGGAATTCAGGGAGCATGATGCAGGTGGCGCCCACCCAGAGAGGGCACAGCAGTTTGTTGACGATGCCATGCACATGGTGGAGCGGCAAGGTGTGGAGGATGACATCCTCTCTGGACCACGCCCACTCCGAAACCAGACACTGGACCTGAGTGGGAGGAGAGGGAGGGAAGGGACAGGGGGAGGGGAGACAGAAGAGGAGTGTCAGCATGATATTGTCTTTAAAATAAATCATCTCAATCAGCATCCACTGCTGCAGACATTTGTTACTGTGATCTCCTTTGAGCTGTTGTTTGGTGCACCAAATAGCAGAATTGATTTTTGTGACTTATTTGAATTCTTCACCACTGTAGCAGCGCACCCTGAAAGCCAAAGAGAGCTGATCAACAGCAGCAGGGTTTAAATGAAAGGCTTTATGTAAAGTTGTCTGTAGGGTATTTTTGTCTTACTGATTATAACGCGGGCTCTCATGGCTGAACAGAGCAGACTCTGATGCTCTTGACCTCGAGAAGAGTGAACTCATAGGATTGTGTGACAGTAATGGCTTTATTAAAAAAATGAATTTTACTCTGTGTTGTGTTGTGATGCAAGGCACTTCCTAATGTTTTTGTGCACATTTCCCACCTAACCTGCTCTATTCACACATCAATTACTAATAATTTCCTGCTTTTACAAGAGTGATGTCTGACAATGACCAGAGACCCCTGTCAACACAGAATATGATTGCAGTTGGAGAGAATAATAACTCAAAATCATTTTAATCTACCGGAAGTGCACTCAACTGAGGCACTTGTTGGTGAAGGAATTTGTATGAGCCTCTTCAACTTTCACTCTGTGTGACGTGCAAACTGAGCATGGATAATATTTAGTATAAAACAACACTAAAATCAAATCCTTTATGTGTTGAAACATGGTTTGCTGCACAGACTTAGTGTATCTCAGCGTGAAGTCACATCATCATATGTTTTAATGATAAGTCACAGACATGAGAGAAAAAATTCCCACGTAACCAAATAAAATCAGTTAAAAATGCAACATTGAAAGTGGTTTCATAGCATTATCTCCCTCTGAATTTTATCTGTGTGTTTCTTATTTAGAGTGTTTTACTAACAATAAATATTGCATCATACAAAACTATAAGCACAGGATAGAAAAGTGTTTGACGATCTATCTCACATGGAAATCAAGGCTTCAGTTGTTTAAGTAAGGATTAAAAGTTAAGTTCTTCTAGACAAAGCAAGTCACATTAATTTTATTTATAACACTCAAATTCACAAATTCAAGACAAGGAAAAACACTTCTAATCTTCCAATTGATCTTCATTTGGTTGACAAAATTAAATGTGATGATGACGGAGGGCCTGGAAAGGACTGGACATCATCTTTTGCACCCTTGTACAATTATTATTATTATTGTAAATTGGCTAACTCTCCCTGTTTAAACAATTTAATGCTTTTCTCTGTGAATGCGACACGACAGAGAAACATAAAGCCAGACTATTCAACTCCAGTTCAGTTAAACTGCTTCTCATTCGGTTGCTCTTCTGCCCACTGCATCTTTGTACAAGCAAAACTTTAAACACATGGTTTTATATGTAAATGCATAATCATTGAACAAATCACAATGCAGTGACACATTTGCAGAAGAACACATGCACACAGAGATAAGACCTCATTTTAATGTTTCTAAGAGTCCGTATTTGAATAACACAGACCACTAACTCATTTTGCTATAATTATGTTTGGGGATTGGTATATGTCACTATATCCAACTGTCAAAATAAAAACTACTTAAAGTGGAAGACAGGGATCCGATGGTCATCTTAGATCCAACACCTTTGGATAAATTTGGAACTGGGAGATTTATTTTCCTTTCAAGTTTGTCTCAAGTCTTCACTCACATTAACCTGACAGTAGAGCTTTCCAGGAACTCTGACAACCTGATGTTGTTGCCTTCCAGGAAAACAGACAGACTCACTTATCATTCACTCACTCACTTCCCTGGTCCAACCAGAGACAAATGAAGCTCTGACTCTTTTCAGACTGATTTAATTTTCCACACTGTTGGACATGTAGGTCAATTTCACTTAGAAATATACATGGAAATCTTCAGGTGATCTTTAATGGCATAAATTAGTGATTACTCAGGAAGCTCAACTGGAACAAAAGAGGAATGATGTTAATCAGGCAGTCAAATATGCATGTGGGGGTGTCTAAGCACGTCTTGCACTAAAACACACGCATACACTTATGTATGTGTTTATATTTGTTAGTTTTGTGGCACTCTGGATATTCACCTCTAAATCTCTGTCTAGTCACCTCCAAATCTCTGTCTACACTGCATGGACCCTGTAGACAGACTTACTAGGACATAAAGACTTGTGATCTTTGGCAATGTAATCAACCTAAAGTGAGATATTTAAGCTAGCTGTCAATTTTTGAACAGAGACACTGCAAAGTATTTGATTACATGACTGGTGGTTTTACACAATTTACTCCCCAAAATACAGACATTAATATTTAATTGAAAATGATGTAATATCCATCCATCCATTATCTATACACCGCTTAATCCTCATTAGGGTCGCGGGGGGGCTGGAGCCTATCCCAGCCGACTTAGGGTCACCTTTTTATTAGCTTTAGTGACCTGCCTGAAAGCCTATTACTGTGTTGGCATCGT